AACTTAGGAAAGATGATAATCTTGATTTGTTTTAGTATTGTTAGTGTTATATCGAGTAAGTGCGTGCGTGCCCTGTTATTATATGACGTAATGAGACCGCCAATTGGAGAGCAGTGAATTTATTGATCGCCCAGTGATACACAAAAGCCGTATGAGCAGTCTTGAAAACTTATCAGTCCTGCTTCCTACCTAGCTCAGCCAGTTACGTCCAGAACACCAATAACAGCCTATGCAATATGAATCATTATTCTGAAACATACTGGGTTTATATACCAAACAAACTGATCACATCGTAACACAAATTAGAAAACAACATTTGTACAAGATTTAGCCAAATGTGGCTGTGAATAGGGGGAACAGTAATCAATAGACTAGGGATAGCTCAAGAATGGTAAATCGTATAATAATAGTCTATAGGTCAAAATAAAGCTTATAATAATAGGGATACGAATATGAATAGTTTAGTTACTTAGCAATTATACAATACATATCATATTGGTCTATAAATATTTTACAAAGTTACCATTCATAAATCTCCTTGAGATATAACAGTTAGAGTATCTATTCTTATTTCCTATTTAATAAACATTAATTTTCAAATAATTTTTTTGTTTGATGAAAAAGATCAAACAGTATAGTGAATGGTAATTATAAAAGCTAAACAATAATTAGCATCGATCTACTGAGACTAAACAACAGGAAATTTTAAACCTTATTGAAGATTGAAAGGAATCAATAAAATTGTCCCCTACAGTAAGCATAATAATTGTAATAATCAATATATTTTTTGTTATACCCTTTCGTGACTTAATATAAGCCATTTTGAAAGTATCAAATATAGTGTCTTTGTAGTTGAACTATCCTTGCACACAAAACAATATGATAGATCAATATTATGGAACAAATAGCCATTCATTTATTTCATTCGTGTTTGAACATATTGTTCACATAAGTATGGTAAAATTTCAGCTTATCGAAATTATCGATTGAGGTTATCCATCCTTGTTCCTGTGTTCAATAAGCGTGTACTCTATCCAGTTCATTTATTGAATAAATGATGAGTATAAAAGTATGTTTTCATTGGAGATTTTATTTCAAAACGGAACTCTCACTTTATTTGTATTTTTCATCTGACATGTTGGGGAAGCGTTACAGTACAATTTTAGACAAAATCAAGTGATTGAAATGAATTCTTCAGTGAAAATTGAGTTCTTGTTTGTAACATTGACCCAATAATGACTGGATTAATGACAAAATGCTGGATATTGGAAATTTATTGGACATGTAAAATGGTTGGACAATTTCAATTAAAATATTTTGCTTAAATTAGTTAATATGTATTTTGAATCATTGGAGATGGTAAATGTTTTTAAATATTCATCAATTTTAAAGTAACTAAAAATTCAGATACATATTGGTAAGGATTTACTGACAGAATAAATCTAATTCATTTGTACTGTTTGTTTGAATCTTCCTATCGATGTGTAAGACTGCAATTGATCAGTATCATTTGGCATATGGGAATCCTAGACGGATTGTTTTAATATTGCCATCAAGTCACAAACATTAAAAGGAGAATTGGGTGGTAGTTAATAGTAGAATGTAGGATGCGCGTTTCGTTCTCTTTTTTAACTTGTCAATCGAATGCAACAGTGAATATCTAGAATCAGTAGCAAAGTGAGTGACTCGATAGCAATTGAAGCTAACGGTATTCGGTTCAAGTTATAGAATGTGAATAAACTCTGGGATGTATGTACATCCGGCTGACGAGTTCTAAGTGGAACGGAATACGATTTATGGATTTTGCTCCTAGCCATCATCCAAATCTGTACGGATTGTATGTGTTAACACTAAGATAAAATCAAAATGAGCTAAAAATATTAGATTATAAAGCCAATAGCGGTTAAATAATTGAGGACTTCTCTGTTTAGATTACAGTAGTTGAGTTTCGGTTTTTGAAAACTAGGACAAAAGAAATTTAGGTGCATACAATCTTAAGATATGATTTACTGAACAGGCATAAAATAATAATGGAATATTATATTTTTAGTAGTGAATAATTCATATAAAGTGCTTTTGCTGTTCATAAAAACATGTTTTTGTTACTGGGTTACTACTTATATCGCTTTCTTTAGGTTAAAACTAGTTGATCGTTTTTATGTATATCCAATGCTTGAACATGAAACCAAGAAACTGAATAATTTGGAACTGAAATGAGTGATTGTTAAATGATCTCTTCTTAAAGTATCATACCGACGTTAATGATTCAATGTAAATAAAAAAACACATTCTTATTTTCAGAAGGGGTTTTGTGGAGATTTTAGTAAGTTATAGAGTTGAGATCATGAGTCAATTGAAGCTAGACCACCATGGATAATACTCTTAGTTGAAGCCGGGGAATTATGAACAGTCCTACAAAAATACATTCATCAGTGAGAATATAGATACTAAGTTGTTACCGCATGAGTTTTTTTTACAGTATATGCAAATTGAGTTGATTACCCGGATGAATTATTTACAATTGAGGCATAAGCCTAAGAATGGTAATAATCTACTTTATTGAGTGTCACAGAATATAGAATCATTATCTCAGTTGTTCAAGATTAAGTGTTAACTAATAACTCTCAGGACTGTCCGGTTCATAATCTAGTAGTCGCGTAGGGGCATGCATTCACGTCAGAAGAAACAACTTGAGAACAATCGAATGTGTTGTATTTGAACTTTGAATCAGGAGCGGAATAATTTACAAAGAAACCATCACAGCAACTCTGTAATATCCACATGGGTTCCCCACTTACTGTCGTGATTTATGGACATAAATCTGTCACTTGGTGTAAAGACACTTTCATCTTGGCACTTATTTCGGTGATAAAACGAACAGTCATGAGAAGCGAAAATAGAGGTTTTTAAATGAATAAGTTTTGACTTGACGAAAACTAATTTGTAAATAACAGTTAAGAAAATTTTACAAAAGCGAACACAGTTCCGTCTTCGGAATAGTAATAAATGGGCTCATGGTATTGGATATATTAATGACTAGGTCTTATCTATTATCTAGATTCAAAGCCATATATAAAGTCTGAATTTGTGTTGTCTGTATATAACAGTGATTACTTTGTAAATTTTTACGCGCCTTATTCCAATTACAATATAATATATTAAGGTGTGTTCACTGTATTTTCTCTGACTTGATTGGTGTTCCATTCGTGACTACTAGAGTATGTACTGTATAATCCTGAAAATTACTAGCTCATAAATTCAAGTCTACCATTCTTATTTACTATAGACTACAAATGACGAAATATTTATTAAACATTCTTGAATGATATTAAAATACTTTTCAGAAATTCAGATACTGTTTGCTAAATGATAGTCATCTATCTGAATATAGCCTAAGGTCTTACAAATATTCTAGATAATCCTTAGTTCTATAGGTTAATCACATGATTCATCGTTTTTTTTCCAGCAACATGTTACATCGATGTTAAATAAAGTAAACATAAGTGGGAATATCCAGTTGACCAATATATTTAAACTAGTCTGTCATGCATGGTTAAATATCCACGAACTCATGAATTGGACCTATGATTCTGGCAAACTGAACACCTGTCTCGTATCCAACAATGACCACAGTTGGAATCGATCGATAGCTCTGAAATGCATACCTGGAGGTGATAAGCCGGTAGCATTTGATAGCAACGGTTATAAAGGACATTTTTAATGATTATCAGAACTCCATCTTTATTCACGGCTAACATAAAGTCAACTTAACACAAATGATTATTGCTGAGGGTCATAAACACATAAAGAAGATTAGAACATTCGAAATGGAAATAAATAACTTTGGTTCTATCGCTAAGGACAACCTGAAATGTTTTCTATCAAAAACCAGTCAACCAAAATCTCATTGCACCTGAAGAAATAATAAAGTTAAAGTCATCCGTACAGATCCGTTGAAACTTCCACAATCCAAATTTTGTATATAAGTAGCAGGTAGAAGTTTGATTCGATTTAGCTTGCATCAGCACTATATCCATACAAGGTTATTCCCAAGCACCAAATAGTTTAAACTAATTGAACAGCTTAAAACCCTAGATAAAGCCAAAATTATTTAATAAACGACTTCTCTTTAGTCACTTAGTCTGTGGCAGCCTTTTCCATTTACGTTGTATTTTTCAGACACTCTTCTATTCTCAATCAGTTGGAGGTGATCTGTAAAGAACCATGGTTTTAGATTTTTGGTAGTTGGGATTCATTAACAAAATGTATTTACAATCTTAATAAGATCGCTTCTCTCTGTGGGAGACGTTACCATCGAACTATTTGCCTACCGTACCTATAATCGGGACATGCTGTATACAATGTCCAGTTACTCAGTCGAATGGTTGTGATACATTTTGTTTGAAGGAATTAGGTCAGCTCAAAAAACTAGACAAACGGATGATTACTCACTGAGCAATAAATGCAAACACTTTCTGTCCGAATAGGTCACTGGCGAGATTACATTAAAAAAAAGAAGACGACCTCATTTTAAAATACCCATTGTCTAATTATCGATCCCTTCAACAAGACGTATAACCATTGAATAAACATATCTTTCTATGTTCTGATTTCACCAACAAAATGAGTCCTAATAAAAATTTTGTTATAATTCAATGGGTACTATAATTTTTCATTTTATGCCATTTATACTTCTGTTGCGTTACAAGGAATAATTAGTAACCTCAAGGAATCTTAACAATGAATCAACGAGTAATAAAACTGATTTGTAGTAGCTAATTAAATAATAACGAGTAAAGTATCTTATAAATTATTCAAAGACAATAATAATCCTGAACACAAGTTTTATGTTTATTGATGCCGTCAACATGACCAGTTTCCATCTAGCTCCTCAAATCACTAATGTATATGATATCTCTTTACAATTAAATAGATTATTGAAGTATCCTGTAACTTTAATTAATAACTGACACCCAACACTAATTAAAACAATAATCTTTCATCATACTAACTAAATATATTTCCAAATTTTGTATTATAAGTAAGTAAAAAATAAAAACGATTATAGTAAACAATAGAGTGTGCTTGAAGTCATTGAAAATTGTCCATATATAAAAGAATTTACGTAAATTGGTTAACATTCAATTTGCATGTACATATTTTCACTATATGTATACATACATTGTGGTAATAATAAAGTTTAACGGTTTGCAGGTTTAACTCCATTCATAAACGAACAGTGAGTTATGCATACATGACTAATCTGAATGATAGCCTTGAATAATGTATCTGACTAATCAATTTATCATTCTTATTTATATACAGAATTAGGAATATTTCTTCATAAATGATATATGAAACTCCTCGATTTGTTTCATAACATATTTCATCTTCTCAATAGACGGTAGGATAGTAGTTCTGTATAGAAGTAAATAAAAGCAAAACATAAACTCTATGAATTCATGGTTTTATATGTAATATGAATTATTCTTATTTGTAATAGTATGAAGATATTAAACAAGATAATAGTTAGGACTTCAGTTTTAACTGACCAGTTAATGATTTAATATAAACATACTTAATCAAGAAATGTTAGCAAACAGGTTATGTTTAAAGATATTTCAGTGTCATTGTCAAATAAAACTTGTGTCAACACACCATAGTAGTCAAATTTCAATCAAAGAGTCTCATATTCGCACTCACTAAAAGTGAAGGAGTGGAGTAGTGATTAAGGCGTTCGACGTTCAACCATCAAATTCCAAGTTTAAAATCTGTCTCACCTACATCAGTTTTTGTAACCAAGTAGTGTCACTAATCTTCCATGTACACGAACCTGTACTTGATAATGAGTTGATGATAATTCCTTTAGTTTAAAGTGCCAAAGATTAATATCACTAATTATTCCTTTATACATCTATTATGCACCATAAAATAAATACTTGATCTGTATTTATTATTGGAGTTATATAAAAGATTAAGTTGCACATAAGCTAATAAGTGTTTCTTAGAGCCCAATAAAATAATAAAACAGATTATTAGCTAAGCATTTCTTCTAAAATTAATGTCATTAGATAAAATGTACTTCATCATACAAATAATATAGTCAATCTAATTGCCGTTTAAATATTAAGAACTGTTTAATTATCGGAAGGGGGTTTCGTGGAGATTTTAGTAATTTTTATATAGTTGAGATCATGAGTCAATTGAAGCTAGACCACCATGGAAAACCTGGAAGCACTGGACGGCCGCTTGTTCTATTGTGGGACTTCTCAGCAGTACGTATCCACGATCCCACCTCGCGAGAACTGTTTAATTGTAAAAATTTATTTTATAATAAGTACTAAACATCTATTAGCATATTATGAATATGAACAATGATATATCGGAAATTTATTAAACTAAATTAGCCTTGTTAAACGAAAAAAAAGAAAAAAACCCTACCAATTTAGTATGATTTGTTCACAGGGTTAACTGTATGTGGTACTTATGAGAAAAAAAACTATACACATATTATACTACTTTATTTACTCTAATGATTTCTAAACAGTTTACGTAATCATATATATACATATGAGCCAATTTAATTTACAATATCTAACCAGTGTTCAAATGAAATACACATCCAGATTTGGATAATTTAAAATAGATAAACAAATTATGTATGTTTATTAAAAAGCAGAAAAAAATTAAAAAAAAATGTTTTTGTATTTTTTATTATAAAACTACCATAGTGGTTTGTTGAAATTTTATTACATATATATATTAATTATAAAATAAACAAAAATGGAAAGTGACTTTTATTTATTTATACGTACGCACGTAATTAATAAGTAAAAGTTTTAAAATGTACCAAATGTATTCATACGTCACATTGAAATGATCATTCTTTTTTGAGTCAGAAGGAGTTTTGTGGAGATTTAGTATTTTCATAGTTACAAGCGTGAGTCAATTGAAATTAGGCCACCATGGAAAACCTGGAAGCACTGAACGGCCGTTTCGTCCTATTATGGGACTCCTCAGCAGTACGTATCCACGATCCCGCCTCGCAAAATTCGAACCCAGGACCTATCAGTCTCACGCCAGAGCACTTAACCAATAGACCACTGAGCTGGCATCCGATGGTGTTTATGTCTAACTCCAAACAATCCACAAAGTTGAGCGACCATTCACCAATTGTCTTCAGTGAGTTCCTATCTCACAACAGACGTGGTTTGAACTCAACTGGTTACTGCTTCTCACTAGAACTCCAGGATTTACCTCTCGAAGTCAGTCACTAGTGAGCATATGATAATTATTATCAGAAGGGGTTTTACGGCCGTTTAGTGCTTCCAGGTTTCCCTTGGTTGTCTAGCTTCAATTGACTCACGCTTGCAACTATGAATAAACAAAATAGTTTGTTAATAATATACTATTAAGCATAAAACTGAAGTATTTTATAGTTGTGTTTCTTTTTTTGCACAAACTATATTCTGTATTGCATTCATCAACTTTTGACATTCTAAAGCAAAGATAGATAGTGGCTAGTAGTGGAATCCAGCACGCGAGTTTAGTCCTATTTGGGACTGGGGTCAACTAGATGTAACTGTATCTCAGAGTTGATGTTCACTATGAGGACTCGAACCCAGTACCGTTTGCTTCAAACGCTATCACCTTATCCACTTAGTTACTGAGTCCTGTTAGCCACTTACTTGTGCAATGGGTCACAGTATGCACATATACCAATAAGTGACTGATCAATTGCAGTCCTAAACATCAATGGGAAGATTAAAACAAACAATACTAAGTGAATTTAACTTTTCACATTGTTTTCAAAACTACATAAAAGTTGGAATAATCAACAAACTTGAGAAAACCCGTCTATTGAAATTCAATAGAGTCAAAGTACTTGAGTTTAGTTTGTTTGATCACAGGTTAAGATATTGAGTCGTCTATATCAGTTTTGATAGCTTGATGGCTAAAAGTCATGTACACAAATATGTACATTAGTCATAGTAGTTCCGGGCTTCATTATCTAGTTGAAAGAAAAAATCCAAATTGATCCCAAACACTAGAGCCATGACTATATAAAATCCATTACTAAAATACTACGTATCTGAGCTGAATTGAGATGCTTAAAGATAGTTAATGGAAGTAAGTCACATCACAAATAATAAGCTTAACGATTTATTAGAAATGTAAACGGAGAGTTATTTTGCAGAAAAGGAATATGAATGATAAAGAAATTATGGATTCAAATTCACTATCGATTCAGTTTATTTGAATATATCATCAGTCTTGTTGAAGATGAAAACATTCTTTCACTAAGCTGAAAGAACTTTTAGAGCTCTATTTCTTGGATTAGTAGAAGTTAGACATTAACACTGTTGGATGCCGGCTAGTTCAGTAGTCTAGAGGTTAAGCGTTCGCGCGCGAGACTGATAGGTCCTAGGTTCGAATCTCGCGAAGCGGGTTCGTGTATGTGCACTGCTGAGGAGTCCCATACCGGGACGAAACGGTCGTAAAGTGATTTCACGTTTTCCGTGGTGGTTTAGCTTCAACTGACTCATAAACTCAACTATGAAATTACTAAAATCTCCACAAAACTCCTTCTGACAAAGATCTATATGACAAGTTCATGTTTATGTACTGGGTTACGAGCTCCGGTTGAGGCATGACGTCTATTGGTTGGCCAAACCAAAGCAGATGATAAGGAGTTTAAATTCCACTGTTTCAACCACTACTCCATCATTCCTAACTGGAAAAATTTGACAGTCAAACGAAAAGAAACAATCCTGATAGAATATTATTTGCTCAGATGAATTTAACTATTTTACATTTAAACATACTAAACTCAGACTTTGATAAGACTAATCAACAGGAGCTTGAAAATGTATGAAGATTAAATGAGAGAGAGATATTTTACTGTTTCCTTATATATATATATACCACCGAAAGGATACTTTTACAAATGTATTATTTACCTGAAATGATAAGTTCCCTCTTGCTGCCCAAAACCAGAACCGGGAACTACACATATACCTTTTTCTTCTAACAGTTGTAAGCAGTAGAAGAAATCTGGTGCTTCTCCTCTTCTCTGTAATTGACAATTGTGAATTACTCATATTACTTTTTTTGGTAAAATGAAAAAGAAATTTCGGGCAAAGAGTGCCAAATTAATTTTAACGAAGACATTTTATCATTGATAACCTGATACTAGTTTAAGGGGATAGAAAATATAAACTTCACTGTGCAGATACACAATTCACTCTATGGTAGTTTCTTTTTGAGTTTATTTCAGAGGTAGACCATGTTAAGCTAAAAGACTGTGGTCTTCAAATGACCCAGACAGTTTACATTTGTGTGGTAACTTTTGTCACGGCGAATAAAGGATTTTAATTGTTGAATTCATGAGTCTAACTTATATCGACTCATGAATTCAACTGTTAAAATCACTACAATTTCCACAAACTCCCATCCTAATAATAATGGATTAATCGAAGTAAAAATAGGATGTCGCAATATTGCAGTAGTTTGCTTTTAGATATGTTAACATACCTAACACACAATAATCGAATGTCATTTTATGAAAATGTAATTTAAGTTTGTTTGTCATTGTCAAATTTTGACTGTTTGTAATTAACGTTACTTGATGTAAAGTGCTTTCCCCGAAGAAAACTTACGATTCAATAGTTTAGGGTATCCTGTCAACTACTTCCAACTACCTAAAACTTATCCGTTTTCCACCTAAGTCTGTATGATCTGAACATTTCTGCTTACCAACCGACCTGACAGAAATGTTTAAAATTAGGGTATCTAAGCTTTCATATCTAATGACGGTGAAATCTACGAAAAATGTTAGTTATACGAAGAGAACGCTTCTGACTTAAGAGGATATCGAAGCAATTCGCACATGATGAACATATGCCAATAAAAGACTGACCAATTGCAGTCTTCGAAATCAATGGGAAGATCCAAACAAACAATACAAAATGAATTTAAAGAGAAAAAAAAATGTTTATCTTAAACAAAACGATGAAAATAATCTTCGATAGTTTAGGCAATTATATTTTTAATCACTGGGTTGTGTGTTCTAAGTTCGGTAAATTTCAGTTAAAAGAGTTAGACAGTGAGTGATATCTTAAGTTTTTCGTGAGCAAATATAACTTTAGGGAGAGAAAATGTATCAGCGATAAGTGAAGGAAAAACATGGCAAAAACGATACAGGTCTCAACTATTAGTGTTTAGTTAAACCTACTTTAGCTTCTTGAATAGCTTTTGGTGGTAAATGTATTCGTGGAAAGGCATACATTGCGCCTTGAACAGGATTACATGACATATTTGGCATCGAATTCAGTGCACTATAGGTGATATCAGCTTTATCTTTCAATGCACTCAATACATCATCTCGTTCTTTGACAAATAAGGAATATGATGGTTCACCTGGTCTAGGCGGATTCACGATTGCATCTAATGCTACCTAGGTAATTTTGTTTTGCACAAAAACACAAAAGATAAAATAACACTAATGAAACTGTTGAACATCCATAAAAAGTGATATAAATGAGAAAAATACATGATACACTGGTCATTTATTGGAACAAGAATTACTATGATAACATGTGACATCATTTTAAACCAAAAGACAATTGATCAAAAACAAATTGTCTCCAAACTTTAAAGCAATCCAGTTTCCTTGACCTAGTTTAAAGTGTAATGGAATATCCTCGAGATAACTCCTATGCTTCGCTCTTAGATAACTATCATTGGTGTATAAATTTCAGGGAACAAATACAAAACAGTGGCTATAGTTTACTGTCGTACTGCGCAGATCACCAAGCACAGAAAACAAATACGAATAAATGCAAATGCAAATGAAAGAGAACTAATAAATGGATAGGACATCAGAAACACATATGCGAGTAAAGGAGTCATCGAGCGATTTAAGTAGCTGATATTTAAGCCATCAAGAGGAATATATATGTAGGTTGTGACGCGTGATCAATCTCCTATGGTTATATACTAATAGTTGCCCACATAAGTGACACCGTCTATTTAGTAGGTTAATTAAAAGGTTTAATAAACTTTGACGTGTACGAACTCGAGTATATGAAAGTACCAAAAGCAAAAATAAATGTACCGTACAGAAGAAACGTAATTAGCACATAGGAGGATATTTGCTTTGCTACACGAAATCCACATTTAATGCCTCTTATGGCAACAAGCACCGAAGTTATATGTATTAAACAGAAAGTGTACGATTTTACAAAAAGACAATAATGATACTTCTCCAATAATAAGCTACGATTCATTATTGTGTTTTACTAAGATTCAAATTCTAATAATTAACCAAGTTGACTGAACAGAGGTAATATAGTTTGATGATAAATAGTTAGGATGAATCGATAAGGATTCGGGATCCTAGTGTTACCTAGTTTAGTGAATAAAATATTATCCCTGATTAGTAAGCTTGCATTTACACGTAAAGTTTCAGGATGATATCAATTATAAATTAGCGATTTGACAGTAAAATGAACTTTGATAATTGTAGTTCGACAGATTCAAGTTTACAGTTATATATTGGTTATTTAATGATGCTAACATAACGTTTCAAATACATGTTCCGTTTGGGCAACTTGATTTGAATGTAAAGACTGTTGAATTCTTTATACTGGAAACTACACCAAGTATAAAAACTGTATGGCAAAAATGTAGCTAAGAAGTGAATGGAATTATTAGATAAACATATATAGAGATAATAAAGTAATTATAACATTGTTAACCGGGTTACTAATTTATACATACTATATAATCAGTCGCCTCTGCATCAGTAGGCCTCAACATACACAAGGGCAAAAGCAACATCCTCAAATACGACACGAAGAACACCCACCCAATCACACTCGATGGGGAAACTCTGGAAGAAGTGGAAAGTTTCACTCATCTGGGTAACATCATCGATGAATGTGAAGAATCTGATGAAGACGTAAAGGTGAGGAATGGCAAAGAAAAGGCCACATTCTTACAGTTGAAGAGCATGTGAAACGCAAAACAGCTTTCAACCAATACGAAAGTCAGAATCCTTAATAAAAACGTCAAAACAATCTTACTGTATGGAGCTAAAACTTGGAGAACTACCATCAGAAACAGCCTACTGTGGGAGAGAACAAACCAACCTCAAGCTGGAGAGGAAATTGAGAAAAGACACTGAAGGTGTATACAAGATACATTGATGACATCATCAAACGGTATCGCGGGGCAAGCACTTGGAATCCTGAATTAAAAAGGAAAAGAAGATGACCAACGAACACACTACGTCGGGAATTGGAAGTAGACATCAAAAGGATGAATGACCACTGGAAACAACTGGAAAGGATTGCCCAGTATGAAGTTGCATGGAGAATGCTGGTGGGCGGCCTATGTTCCTCCACGAGTGGTAACAGGCGTAAGTAAGTAAGTAATATAATCAATTACAATCTAATTCATGAATATTATAACCATTTGAATTAACTCATAACGAAAATCCACGATCAGTAATAATAATTGTTGCAAACTAAATTAAACTGAAAATCTATGAAGTACTATACCTGTCCCATTAGCGGTGGACATAATCGTGCTGAAAGGGCTTTGTAAAGCTGAGCTTGAACAGCTGGATCAAAATTTAGTAATTCACAATATCCACCGCGATATCCACATCTAGAATAGACAAAAATATCTAAACAGTGAATTGTTCCGAAAACGATGAACAACATGAGAAACAATATGGCATATCCAATTGGCTAGTACCAATATGAAGTAAATTACATCACACTTTTCTAGCTACTCTGGTTTAGAAGACGCACTTGAACAACCAACTGACATCAACGGTTTTTCCATTAGTTGTTTCACAAAGAGCATTAGGAAGGTGGTTTTCGCTATAATGTCCTTACCTACATTTAAACATTTTATGGGTAATAGTTAATCACAGAAGAGCTTACAAAAGAGAAACGTCTAAATTAAAATAAAATTATTAAAGGAGCCTAAACAAACTCAGAGGAACTGTCTCACCACAAAGTATGTATTTAAGACATCATAACTTACTGCTTATAGTAAGATTATCTTCTTTAAGTTTAGTTTACCAGTGAAACACCCCCCCCCCGTCTTCTTTTACTACGACGGGTTATTCTACGACGCCGGTTGTCAAGTTATGTAACAATATCTACTTGAAGACATAACTGAACTATTTTAATAACCTATCATTTGTGTAAGAAATCGTACGAAATTCCCATCTAACTTTATCTCTGTGACTGAATAACCACTGCTATAGTTTATTTTCAGCTATTTTATCGGCACAGTTCAGTTCCATCATACCTGTTACCGTGTCTTTTGTTGTATAGTGTTCAACACTTAACGAAGGTAGTGGTTGTACTTGGGTCGTTGCAGTTGGAAGTTACCAGTGTTATGTGGGGTTTAACGCAACCTACTCAAAATATCACAACGACACTATAAAAAAGTCTACCCAATCCTCAGACGGACAAAAAGCGACTCAACTGACTAATGCCACTGTTAGTGTCTGTATAGCTTAAATTTAAGTAGTAGCACAGGACTTCAACGTAGGTAGGGCTCTGATATTTGTGGCAAACCATCTTGGTTGAAAGTATATGAGTACAAAACTATTTCACAATGAAAACGCTTTCAGAGTAACCCAACATTTTGCTCTAAATCAATATAAAAATGTCGTCTTATAAATGCAAAACATTAGTATACGTCGTAAAACAGATAATGAAGACATCTGAAAAGAGAGTACGATAGTGAACAAAACCCAAAGAAGGATATCAGAACAAGTATTTACTTATTTGTCAAAAATCTTATAACAACCGACTTACTCTCCCATGTAACCCTTGCTACAGGACATGAGTGAGGCCAATTCCAATTTTCCTGAGTAACTTGGTCCCATATTGGACAAAACTTTTTTAAAACTAGCCCATGGATATTTGTCCGGCTGGTAAACATTTTGCTGATAAACTTCGTCAGCTATCAACATCAGTCGGTTATCAACTGCAAATTTAATAATATCTTCCATACATTTTTGCGGAAGTACTTGACCCGTTGGATTTCCTGGATTAATTATAACTATGGCTTTTGGTATGCATTGTCCTTTGACACTCGTTAGTGCTCGCTTCAATTCATCGGCAGATAAGGACCAGTTGTCACTTTCATCTAAGTAGTAGTTAATCTAAAACATAAGTTGTAAAATAATTAAGGAAAAAACTAAAAATGGTAGGTAGATGTAAACCTGAAGTGGTTGTTTTTATTATAAGTAACCGGATTACATTAAGAACGAATATCGTTCGAATGTATGGAGATTTAGTGAAAATGAAATCGCTTGTCACAGATCACTAAAAATAAAAGCTTGAGGTGAATTGGTGCATTAATTTGATGATGTAAATGTAAATTTACACGAAACAATGGTTTATTGTCCGTGGTTAAGAACTAATATTAAAAACCAGGTTCTCAGCTGGTAGATAAATTCTTGAGAATTCGGTGTGACCAGGACTGTTCAATAAAATAAGATAGAAAATCTTTGCACCCATGTTTCTTTGTCTCTACAAATACAACCCAATGATAGATAGAAAAATAATCCACGATCGTGACCAGAGGCGAAGTTCAAGCACCTTAATTTTAAATACACGACTAAAGTTATTTTTCAAATTTAGCATCGGCAAGCTTAAAAAAGCCATAAAGCACTATTTTCAGTGATTTAAAGTTTAAAGATATTATTCGACTCTCAAAACATGGTGAGTTCCTGATTCCAAAAATCTATACGAATCCAATTTATGCTAAAATGCTAATGTGGCTGCAATTCACTATTATGTCATAAGAAGTGACGAGAAAACTCTCCATATAATTGATTAAAAGCAACAATAAAAGAGTCATCAACCAACCTGAAAGTTGTTGTATTCGGAATTCGTAGCTGAATACAAAGGATATTGTGGTATTGGAATCATAACACCTGCGCGTTCACTGTCTCGACCGGTTGTGGATATCATTTCCAGTAACATCTAAAATTCCACAAAAATGCGTAACTCAATCAAAATCCGCTAAAATGACCATATTTACCATTTCTAAAAAAATAGGTAAACATAAGCCGTCGAAAACTTACCATACGGTTATTTGTGCCATGTGTCAGTTTAATCATTGTTGTTATGTGTTATCAATTGACTGTTTATAAAAATAAACTAAATCCTTACAGGTTTTGCAAATGTAGCAGTATAGTAACCACATGTTTACGAAGAATTCCAGAACTAGGTATATCTTTGCAATACGCACACAATGCACAAATAAGAAGTTTAAATAATCAATTTCAATCCCGAATATCAACAATCAGAAACCACAAACTCTTACTAACAAGTCAAGATTTGGAGGGAAATGTGACCTAATTCCATGTCGATACGGCAGTATGTCTTGAAATTTTCGGTATTTAAACTTCATTAGACATTCAAAATCTCGAAAAAAGCAGGTAATGTGCACATCACTTTGACTATCTGTTATTGCACGGTGTATAAGATCTTCAGATGCCGATGATTAGCTTTTATAGCATTGATTATGTAAATTAAAACGATCGAGTAAAAATGCTTTAAAACTCAGTGGAACGTCATTGAAAAGGAAGGTGACAAACTGTTTTATTACTAAATAATTCGTCATCCTATAAGTCTGTAAAGCAACAATACTTAATACACTCGTTTTCAGCCCACTTGGTGTTTTCACCCCTCCTTCACCTTTTCGACGTATTTCACGCTATTACCAAGTAGTAGCACTCTACATAGACACCTTTTATTAATTGGCTTTCAACTTTTACTAACACCTGTTTGGACTATTTGGTGAAAAATTCTTGAAATTGTAGAGCGTTTGCAGTAAATTTTGAATAATCTATTACTGTGAATTCTATCTACAAAACTTGGCACACGTTTTGAAATTCGCAAGAAAAACGCACAAAAGGTAGTGTATTTTTGGCTCTATCTTTTTTAGGATTGACTGGTTCAAAGCAAATGTTGAGAAAATTCCACCCACATTCAATAAAATTATCGTCTAGTAAAGAAGAATATATAAGCCGAAAACAAGTCAATTCATAACTGTAAGTAAAATACCTTTACAGCCTCCGTAGCTCCGCAAGCTAGAAAAATATTCTCCCAGTTAGACTCAATCCCATCGCGTTGATGTATATACTTTGAAACATCTCTACGCACAACCTCCAGCCCCAAAGAGTGACTGTAAGAACCTGAAATCAAGAAACGGGTGAAACATTTAACCGCAAATACTACTAATGTGTGGTTAACGCATGGCATGATATTACATGAATCGATGCTAGTGACAAACGAAAGCTATCTTTTAGCGTAGTACATGAGTAGAAGCATAATCAAGCAGTATTTAAACCACTCACATTACTTATTACCAAGAGGCTACATCAATAAGTTTTAGTATCATGACAAAACCTGAATCTCACTCTGAAAATTAAACCACATCTGGTTTTAAGTTGATTAATTACCATATACTGAGTGATTTTTCTATTTTAAAGGTAACAATATGAATTGTCGTGCTAAATTCAGTTAATGCGACAGAAAAGCTAGTCTCATTACGAAGCACTAACGATAGGGAGTAGATAATACGTAGTGACGATTTCCAATAAAAAATGTATGGTTTAGGCTTTCTTTCTTCTAAATAGAGCCTCAATAAAATCATTTGTTTTAACTGCAGATAAGTGGCGGTGAATACGACAGCTAAATAAATGTTGTTCAGCATATGATGTATCCAGATCACGTTAAATCTAGCGAATAATCAAATAAAGAAATAATACATCTCTACCAAGCGTACGAAATTGGGTCTTCCAGCTACAAATGACAGACGGTATACAATTTCACCTAGGTAATAGCCGGCCATAAGTAGGTGATTTCATAGACAAGTAGTTCCTTTAACTGGATTAAAACATCATCGACCTCCAGTACATGGTAACATGTGCATTGTTTCATAATCAGGTTGCAATCAAGTTGAATCTACTTGATAAATTTAGATTAATAAGGAGTGACGCGAATACAAAAAGGTAAATATGATTCAGGAAATAACGTAGTATTCATACATACCGACACTAGAACCAGAACAAGCTGCTAATAAATCCTTAGCTCTTGATTTAGTATCTTCTGGAAAACTCTTGTTTTCAAGGAGATGAGGAAAGGTTGCCAAGGCAGTAACTTGACGTACAAACGTGATACACTTTTGGCCAGTAGCGTGACAGTCACCGATATTACACTTGACAACTTCACCGAAGGATTTTTTATCACCCTAAATTTATATATATTATATATGAGTATTACTTACATTCCTGAGTTCTTTTTCGATTTGAAGAGCACGTTCCACAATTGGCCCACGTACTGCATATTCTATTTTTATCATATTAGGATTGATACTGTCAAGTGTTAGCACTTTATCCATGTTTAGAGCAAAGTAAGGGAAGACCAATTTAGGATTCAAGTTAGCACAGAAACCAGAATTTCAGTTGACCTTCAGTACTGAACTATACAAACAAAAGCATGAATTCCATTTTTGATCTTCACACTTTGAAACAACATGACAAGCACCTGCCTGAAATATCGTGGCCTTTATGAAATTTGACATTTTATAACGTGAAATGCACTCGCTTCACCGATAGTTTCGCCGGCGCACCCTCGTAAGTGACCTAACACTGCGATGATATGTTATGTATATTCGACCTGAACACTCCTATATCCGTTCGTGAAGTTGTCTGCCGCCCACTGCGTTTTTGAAATTCAATTGCTTCTGCTGACCGGAATAGTTATCACTGTGCAAAACAGACTGGTTTATCATGATTTTTTTTACCTACACCCGAATAGCGGATATCAACGTCACCAGTAAAATTTTCGGAGACGAAACGAGACACTGATAGAGATACTCACCAGGAGATTTAAATCAGATGGACCTTGTCGTTTAGACTGCAAATAATTATATTCAGGCAGCAAGTTTAAAATAATTCTTTATCAAGTGATATGATACTGTAGGGCGAGTGAAATGTCACTGAACTCTAGCCAAAGCATCCGACAGTTAGGTCAGTAAATATCGAACAGATCATAGCTCCCCGTCAGGGTCAAGGACAGTCAATGCGCATTCAGTTATTCATACGCCATAGACTGACCCATGCGGCAGTGCCTCTACTTTCGCTTGTACCCACTTTAACTAATATATTAATGTAATAACGTCCCTTGTGTTATACAGTCTTCAGAGCATCCATGGTCCCTTGATACGTCGATGGGGCAATCAACGTAGGGTGTTGGTCGCGAGGTGTGACTCTGAAGTTAGTTTGTTCGTTACACCGTTCCCGTCTTACTCCAGTAGGCCTCAAATCATTCGACATAGATCATCAACGTTGATGGTCTACAACACATTTGAAGTCGAACATTATTGAAGAGATTGTAGCTGTAAATAAATGCCCATAACGAATAGCTCTGTAAGTCTCTAACATTGGATACTGACCACATTAGTTTTAATACACTCACTTAGCTGAAGGAGCTCGGTCATTCATCCGCACAAGTCCACGAGTGTAAACGCCGTCCACATCATCCTGTGCAAACGCCAGCCGGGTTGGGAGAGTCGATCCACGATATATTGATAATCTATCAAATATGTCTTTCAACCTCCTCACTTCTGTCTTTTTATTTCACTTGGTGGGCACGATTCCTAATAGTAGGTGTTACTGGCGTCATAAAAATGCGAATACCTGCGACATCTTCAAGATATTGAAAATGAAAAGTTTGGGATAAAGTTTTTCTATTATTTGTCGAGGACGACATTTTATGACGTTTTATCCCGGCCTTTTTTACTAAATTCATATCACAGTCATCGCAGAGTCATTAAGGTTAGGCTCTCTTGAGCGGTAATGTGTCATCCTTCAAAATTATCGGGCTGTCAAATGTATGATTCAAGATGGTTTAGTAGTCTGGACTCATGGGAAAAAATTGCGGAATATTCAAGCAAATATTTTTAATCTTATCAACATTTATGATAAAAAAAATGTAGTGCTCGTAGGTCCTCAATGCACGAGCCTAAAATTCTTACATTTTGCAGTTCCATGTGAAAATAATTACTAACTTAACCCTGTCTGGAACCTTAAGCACATTAATTTTTTTAGTCTTGTATTTCATGTCACATTTTAATTAAAGTAAGATTATTACTACGGCCTTTTTTCTACAGTTATAATATTCTACTATCCCTTTGCTACTGTTTGGTATTTCACAATGTTTTAGCCAACAATACACTTTGGTAGTTTCTTCATTGGAAATCATCCTTGATTATGTGCACTAATTTTGACTGATCTGTTTGATCACTTGCGAAATAACTACTCAGCTCGTCTCGCGATAACACTCTTTCGCTCTGGAGAGTAATTAACTGTGTATTTTTCAACGACAAGTCCAAATGACCCCTTTTACTTTTAATTGTATAAAAGTTTTGAAACACATTACCAGCTAGTCGACATTAAGGAAGGAGTGTCCAGATAATTTGTATATTATGCATTTTGACACTTATTCTTTTCTTGAACAATTTTATTATGACTGATAAAATGTGTCTCAACATCTTTGTGATGATAATCTGATCAACCTATTAGTGGAGTTAACATGGAGTAAGACCATGTGTAACACTAAAAATCATGGTTGCAGCATTGGTCTTTGACTCTCGAATCTGCAGTTGCTGTCCAAGTGAGCTTTTTTTAGAAGCCTTATATCAGTAACCTTCAATGCTCTTAGTTAAAGATAACTTCCCTACCCTGAATAATACTACAACCATTATGAGACTAAATTATCAATAACACAGGATACAAAACTAACTCACGGACTTTTCTGAGGGCTCATCCATGGATCTTCGAAACGGCGTGATTGGACATCAGTACTGTGACATATCACTTTAAATTGCCTATGAATGTCCTACTAGCCTTCAGGAAGTGTTGGCCTCGTTCTTCACGTTACTGGTCACAGATAGGAATCTGAAGCCGTTTACATCTCCGTACGTGATATGACTACAAATATTCGGTTGCAAGATGGAAGGCAAAAGGTTTGTGAACGAACATTCTTGGAATTTTTAACCGATATTTATGTTGAATATACCACCAGTATTGTAGTTCGACAAATATTAAACACTAACACCTTCTATAATCGAATCGTGCCCCACTCAGTTAAAATCAGAAGTCAGAAGCAAAGAGGTTGGAAAGATATATTTGGTGCGTCATCAATATATCGAGAAGCGGTTGATCTAATCTGGCTAATGAACGTAGGAGATGTTTCCCACGCTGTGCTGTAACGTGATCTGGTGCGGATGCATGACTGAACGCCTTCAGCTAAACAAGACCACTTTAACTAATGTGGTCAGCATCCAGTGTCGAGCACTTAAAAAGCTATTGATTTTAGAGAATTATTTACAGCTACAATGTATTGTCTGAAAAGAGGCTACAAAAACAAAACAGCGCACAAAGCTGAAAAAAATGATTAATAAACTTATAGTACTAAATAACTACATTGGTCGGTTAGAATCGGTGACCTCCAAAATTGAATTAAATTCGTGATTCAAAACGATGAAATGTTTATTAGTTATTTTTGCATACCAACAAAATATTTGTGTAGCGACAATATCGATGTAATTTTCATTAACTAACAACAATTCATCTGAGTGTAGCTCCAAGCCTTGCAAATATTCTCAGCACTTCTCAAAATCTATGAAATAGTCGTACGGTGAACAGTTTTTATTAATCCTCATAGTTACCTCGCGCTCAACGAAAAAGGGAACAGTGGTCATAAGTGTTGAACAAATATACTCAAACCTGTCCGCACTGCATAACTATTTGATCTAAAGTTGATGAGTCGCACATAAATGTGAATACGGTAAACTGAGCATTTGTTTGACAGTATTCGGAATCTATCGGTTACCCTGAAAAACATAAGTTTGGATGATTAGCTGAAAGGGTTAAATAGGACTGTTAATTCGCTTACAGCCTCACCACGTAAATCGGTTAGTTAATAATTACTCTGTGTTTAAAATTTTTGAATGCTTTTCCGAGATTCAAAGAAAACTTTGAACCAAACTAAGAATCCTTGAACAATTTGAAACTATAGCTACGTCTTACTCTTTGACTATATCGTAGAAATAATAATAGTCTATCAAACATCCTCCTTACTATAAAATTCCGATGGTGAAGCAATAAAACACACTAATGGGACCTACATAGCAGCTTTACTCACACCATTTCGCCTACGGTGGGTCCTAAATGTTACTATCAAGAATCGGGGTGATTCCAGACCGACAAAATCTACAATATTATGGCGATTACCTACATTTTACTCAGATATAACTCTCAGAACAATTTAGACAATATTTTCCAGTGAGTTCCTAGATGTTTATCCCTTAGTAAGTTGAAATACATGTTTAGAATACCTGTTGGTTCTTGAAGAGTATGTTCACAACACAGATAGCTTCAAAAAGCAGAGTAAGCTCGGGAGAAAATTAACTGATAGTAATACAATACTATTAGTGGTAAAGTTCAGTATGATAGCCAACGTCAAACACAGCAGCACTTTGATGTCGAGGAATCAAAATCATATGAAACGTGTAAGACACAGGATTAGCTTTTAACGGTACACAGATTTCTAAAACCTACAGCACAACCAACTATCCGTTAGGAAGGACGAAGAAGAATACAACTAAACTCCCATGAAATGAAATCGATAATATCAATTTATAGCAAGGATGTTTAAGATAGTTGAAATGCCAGTGACAATATTGAAGCTTGAATTAGGAGTCGTAGGATCCTGAAGGGAACAGCACTCAACTTAATTCATTTCTACTGACTGTTTGAATCTCCCTATTGATGTTCAAGACTGCAATTGACGAGTCTCCTTTGGTATCTGTCCATCTAGTGAAGAATGCTTATCTTGCCATTAAGTTTCAAGTACGAGTCATGACTCATAGAGACGACAAAAACGGCATTTATCTCACTATCAACACACGATATGATTAGTAGATTTGATAAATACAACCTAACTATGGAAGAAACCGTAAAATACTCATCAAAAATCATCACACATTCATCTTATGCTTTGAGAAGAGTCACATTGTTCACCTGTGACAATAAGTATACCTAGAAACAAAATAATGTACTCACTGCTCTTCATTTTAACTAAAAAATAAAACCCGACTTTCTTCAGACAACTGTGATGATGAAATATGTAAAAAAGTGCAGTTAACTTCAAACAAGGCAAAAAATACGGAGGAAGATGTGGGTAATTAATTAATTCAGTAGGATCCTGAAGGACTAATTTGCTACCTAAATACAACCACCTGATATGCCTTGACGGAACTGACTCAGGGTGTACCTATGAACATCAGGGAAAAGTATATAGAACGTCCTCAGGCAAACGTTCAAAAATTATAATCTTCCATCTCTAAACCTCTTAACAGATATGGGTTTACTCCTACTATGTTCTGATAAACGGTACCTA